AGGCTTTACGTATGAAGGAATCTGAATTAATGTCAGATTATTTCACAAGAATCTTAGTGTTTGTGAATAATTTGAGAACTTATGGTGATGATCACTATGATGATACCCGGGTGATAGAAAAAATCCTCCGTTCATTGGACCCCAAGTTTGACTACATTATCGTAGCCACTGAAGAGTCTAAAGATTTAGACACAATGACGATTGATGAACTCTCATGTGATTGTTGTTAGCCCATGAAGAACGGCTAGGCAAAAAGAAGCAAGAGTCATCGGAGCAAGTGCTACAAACCAAGCTTTCTTTCAAAGAAAAAAAAAAAAGGCAAGATGGAAGTCAAAGAGGTAGAGGACATGGACGTGGAGATGGAGATCGTGGTGGACGTGGTCAAGGTAGAGGAGAAAACTTTGGCCAAAATGCGTCCAACAAAGAAAAAAGAGGCCAAAAATCACATCGTAGAAGAGGACGTGGAAGAGGCAACAATTCAAAGTCATATGGAGGAAGGTATGACAAATCTCACATTCAATGTTATAATTGTCATCGATATGACCATTTTTCTTCCGAGTGTAGAAATAATTTTGTGAAAGAAAGAGCACACTTTGTTGAAGACAAAGTTGAAAAGGTAGAGCCGACCTTGTTGTTGGCATATAAAGAAGAGCAAAAGGGAGACAAAAACGTGTGGTACCTTGACTCCGGTGCTAGTAATCATATGTGTGGAAATAAAGATATATTTGCGGAGCTTGATGAATCGGTAAGTCGAAAAGTTACTTTTGGAGATTCTTATCAAATTCCAATAATGGGAAGAAGTAATATTTTGATTCGTTTGAAGGATGAAAGGCATCAAGTTATTTCTAATATTTTTTATGTTCTAAACATGAAAAATAATATTTTGAACTTGGGACAACTCTTAGAGAAAGGTTATGATATTTGCATGAAAAATCATAATCTTTCAATAAGAGATGGAAACGGGAATTTGGTTATTAAAGTGCCGATGACAAGAAATAGAATATTTTTGTTAAATATTCAAAGTGATGTGGCAAAATACTTGAAAGCATGTGTTAAACATTCTTCTTGGTTATGACACTTGAGATTTGGACACTTAAATTTGGGAGGACTAACCTTGTTGTCTAGAAAGAAGATAGTGAACAGATTGTCTTCTATCAATCACCGGAATCAACTTTGTGAGGAATGTTTAATTGGAAAACAAGCTAGAAAGAGCTTTCCCAAAGAATCCATTTCAAGAGTAACCAAACCACTTCAACTTGTTCACTCGGATATTTGCGGCCATATAGACCCACCATCATTTGGTAAGAACCGGTATTTTCTTCTCTTTATTAATATTTTAACCAAAAAATATGGGTTTATTTTCTAAAACAAAAATCGGAGGTGTTTGGTGTTTTCAAAAAGTTTAAGGTTTTGATTGAAAAATAAAGTGGGTATGAAGTCAAGGCAGTTAGATCCGATAAAGGAGATGAATTCACATCAAATGAATTCAAAATTTTTTGTAAAAAAAATGGAATTCATCATCCTCTAACGGTTCCAAAATCACCACAACAAAATGGTGTTGCCGAAATGAAGAACCGAACCATTCTTGACATGGCTCGGAGTATGTTGAAGAGTAAAAAATGCCCAAGGAGTTTTGGGCGAGAAGCTATTGATTGTGCTATCTACTTGTTAAGTCGGTGTCCCACTAGAAGTGTTCAAGACAAAACACCACAAGAAGCATGGGGAGGAATCAAGTCAAACGTTTCTCATTTGCGGATCTTTGAAAGTGTATGTTATGCACATGTGCCGGATGAGAAACGAACCAAACTAGATGACAAGAGTGAAAAGTTTGTCTTTATTGGCTATGATTCAAGAAGCAAAGGTTACAAGTTTTACAACCCAAGTAACAAGATAATCATTAGTAGAGATGTTGAGTTTGATAAAGAAGATGAATGGGATTGGAACACTCCACAAGAAGACTATGATTCTTTCCCATTCTTTGAAGAAGAGGATGAGCTTAATAATGAGATCATGGAGCTGCCCATTTATTCTCCTCCACCATCACCCAACAATGTGCAAGTATCTCCATCATCATCCGAAGCAAGTTCAAGTGAAAGGCCACCTCGCATGAGGAGTCTTCGAGATATCTATAAAAAAATCGAAGAAGTAATTCAAAGATTTAGTGATCTAACACTATTTTGTCTATTTGCCGATTGTGATCTCATAGGCTATGAGAAAGCAGCACAATACAAGAAATGGAAGAGTGTCATGAATGAAGAAATAGATACTATTGAAAGAAATTGAACATGGGAGCTTGTCACACTTCCTAGAGAACAAAAAAGTCATTGGAGTGAAGTGAGTGTACAAGACGAAGAAAAATGTCAAAGGTGAAGTAGAGAGGTACAAAGTAAGGTTGGTAGCAAAAGGTTATAGTCAAAGACCAGGTATTGACTATGATGAGGTATTTGCACCCGTTGCTCATTTGGAAACAATTAGATTGATTATTTCCTTAGCCGCTCTAAATAATTGAAAAATTCATCAAATGGATGTAAAGTCCGCTTTTTTAAATGGTTTTCTCGATGAAGAAGTGTATATTGAACAATCCTTGGGTTATTTTTTGAAACGGCAAGGAGCGAANAAATGGTTTTCTCGATGAAGAAGTGTATATTGAACAATCCTTGGGTTATTTTTTGAAACGGCAAGGAGCGAAAGTTTTGAAATTAAAAAAGGCTTTGTATGACTTGAAGCAAGTACCAAGGGCTTGGAATAGTAGACTTGACAAGTACTTTCAAGCAAATAATTTCACCAAGTGTCCCCATTAACATGCTCTTTGTGCAAAGGTGAATGATAATGGTGATATATTCTATGCTTGTTTGTATGTGGATGATTAATCTTCACAGGAAATTGTCCAAGAATGTTTAAAAATTTCAAAAGAGCAATGACTAAAAAATTTGAAATTACCGACATTGGGCTTATGTCATACTACCTTGACATTGAAGTGAAGCAAATGAAAGAAGATATTTTTATCTCTCAAGAAGGTTATGCTAAAGTAATTTTGGCAAAATTCAAGATGCAAGATTGTAAGTCGGTATGCACACCCGTTGAATGTGGTGTAAAATTGTTAAAATATGAAGATGGAGAGCATGTGGATCCTACCTATTTCAAGAGCCTAGTGGAAAGCCTGAGGTACTTAACATGCACAAGACCGGATATTCTTTTTGGTGTTGATCTTGCAAGTCGCTATATGGAAGCTCCTACCATGACCCATTTGAAGGCGGCAAAAAGAATTCTTAGATACATCAAAGGTACACTTGATTGTGAATTGCTATATTCTTGTTCTAACAATTTCAAACTTATGGATTATTGTGATAGTGATTGGGGCAGATAAATAGATTGTAGAAAAAGTACTACCAAATATGTTTTCTTCATGGGAGATACCACATTTGCTTGGAGTTCAAAGAAGCAACCTATTGTGACTCTTTTAACTTGTGAAGCCGAGTATGTGGCGGCTACATCATGTATTTGTCAACCCATTTGGCTTAAAAATTTGTTGAAAGAGCTTCATGTGCCTAAAGAAGAATCGACGGAGATCTTCATTGACAACAAATTGGCACTAGCGCTGACAAATAATCCGGTGTTTCATGATCGTAGTAAGCATATTGACACAAGGTTTCATTTCATTAAAGAGTATGTGACCAAGAAAGAGGTAGAGCTCAATTTTGTGAAGTCTCAAGATCAAATTGTCGATATTTTCACTAAGCCCCTCAAAGAGGATGTCTTTTGCAAATTGAGAAGTTTGTTTGGAGTTGAGAAGAAAAATCATGTTTAAGGGGGGTGTTGGAAAAATAATATTAAACTTGATTTTTTATGTTTTAGGAGTTATTTTTATGCATTTAGTTTTTTGTATTAGTGGGTCATCAATATGGTATTAGTGGGGGACAAAATAATTGTGGTATTTTAATTCTCCAAGTAATGGAGGAGTGAGGTATTTATTATTTTTATTATTGCATTATGTAGTGGGGTTATTTTATATGTCATGAGAGTCTATATATATCATATGTAATACATTCACCTGGACACGAGTGAATACAAAGAGTTCTTCTAATTTTCAATAGTTTCTCCCATTATATTTTTCTTGTGAGTGTGTGATAGTCCTCTAAATTCTAACAAAAATACCCTAGCCGCAATATCATTATAGAAACGGGAAGCATCAAACCTAAGAGTACGATTAGGTTGTAAAATTTTATAATAATAGTAAAATAGAAAAGTACGAAAATCATTGTGTACAAAAATTAGAAAAATACGAAATCGAACAGAAAAATTTATCAAATAAAGCAACATACTTTTGATTACTACATTTTTTTTTCTAATTTTGATAGCAATATGAAATATTAAAATGAGAATTTGATGGACTATTAGAGTACAAAGTGACATTCACCCAAAGTGAATCATCAAATTTAATTTTAAAATTCCTGGGTATATTTAGCTTTTAAACAACTTCTAAATTTTTAATTGTTTTAAAATTTTCATTAAATTATGTAATTTATTTCAATCGACTTCTTCAGTTGAAATTAATGTTAAATGAGTTTGATTTCGTTAAATGAAATAAATTTGGTTAAAATTAATCATTAATTTATCTTATTTATCGATCTTAACAAAAGAGATTGATTGAAATAAATTGAGATAATTAAAAATTTAAGGGATAATTTAAAATAAAAATCATAATCCATGGGACATTTATGAGATTTACCTTAAATTCTTTTATTTTTCTCGTCACCCGGTCACCCCATGTGTACCTTTTGACAGTGGAGATTGGAACTCAGACTTTCGGCCAGCCACTTAGAATTGCTACGTTCCCGCCATTTAAATCAAAAGCAGCTCAACTGAATGCTAGCTATTTTTCAAATCTTTGTTTGCTCGCTTTTCAATGGTGATATTCAGATAAATTTCTGGCATATTGCGAATTGTCGATCGTAATGTGTAGAATCTTATCACCTCCAATAGGCAAATTTGTTGCAACGATGGCAGATGCGAAGAAATGGTCTGTAACCTACACAAAGCACATCAAGCAGAAGCGTAAAGTCTATCAGGACGGTTTCCTAGAGCTTCACTCGTCAAGCCACAAGGTCTTCCAATCATTCAATTTGTTCCTTCTTATGCATTCAATTTTTCAATCTCTCTCTCTCTCTGTGTATATATATATACACACACTACAGTGAAATTGTTTGCTTAAAGCCCCCCAAAGCAGTTCACTGTGCTTTGATTTTAACTACAGAAGACATTGTATGATGATTCGTGAATATTAAATGCACAATAAAATTAGATACAAATATAAGTGGCGATGCGTGGAAAAATTGTGTTCAGATTATTGAGTTGAGTCTTTTATGCGGAAAAATGTTTTTTAGCACCTCAGATCACTGTATTGTGCTTCTGTTCCATAAAACTTGCTCAATCAGTTCGTGAAGTTATGACTTCTGATGGCACTACCAGAAAGATCTAGTTCATGTCTGATAATCCAATATTTTGAAGAGATTTTTTTTTATTATTATTATTGTGTTTTCATTTCTCCTTTTTGTTTTTCTTTCGTTTTCTTCTATGCTTGGATTTGAATAAATTTTTTTGAACTAAATTTTGTAAAGTTCAATCATACAGAAATATCACATTAATACTTTTTTTGAATTCTTTACACAGGTCCTGCTATATGATGATTGTGAAAAACTATTAGAAAGCAGGTTTGTGAAGAAAGAGGATGTCATCAGATCCGGTGAAACACTGGAATTCGATGCTTATCTAGTCGACATTGGGGATTCTCATGGAGATCACAAATCTATACCTAATTTGAATTTCCAAGGAAGAGATAAAAAGGTTACGGGGAAATCTGGAAATTTACATGGCCAAAAGTTCAGGAATAATCCAATTTCTGTTGGTATCACATCATTTTTCTTTTATTTTTTCCTTTTCGAGTTGCTTAATTATTTCCTTTTTATTTCTTAGTTCCAGTGGTTCTTTTCTTTTCAGAAAATAAGAATGCTAATTCAGGGAAGAATAAAGCACCATCAAGTAATCTGAGTCCATCACAAAAAATTATCAGAGGTTATTTTAATCACATTCATCATCTCTTCATCTTCATTTGCAAAGTGAAACAAGTTTTCAGTATTATCTGTTTATTCCTGAGTGCGAGCTGGCATGGGGAGATTATAAAATACATTTTATAAGGTTTGAATAGGAAATCCAGCAATTTATAAACATGTTTCGTAAGTGTGCTCTGTATGTGAGTCTTATCTCTGTGCGCATACAGAGCATCTTCCTCTTAATTTGTGGTAGAATTGTTTGTTTTCATGGTGTGTTTTTATGTTACTTTCTCTCTCAAGGAAGCCTTAGCTCTAGCGCATAACCCTTTTTAGTGCCAGCAAGTTCTTTCAATTGTCTTATTGACAAGGATAATTGTATTATTTTGAAAATTATAGAGTTCAAGAAGAGTGAAATGGTCAAGTATGGTGCATCACCAAGCTGTCCTGATACTACAACAACCAGCATAACAGGTTAGTTTCGGAACGCAGTTTTGCGTTCAAAATATAACATTATCGTAAATTTCCACTTTTTCTTTGCTTTTCTATTCTTTTACTTTCATTTTGTTGTCCCCCCTCCAACCGGACGTGGGTAGTAATCGTTTAGTTTATGGTTTGTTCCACTCAATTGTACAACAAAACATCAAACCATTATGAATTCTTAAACTAACCACTGTTATTAGGTTTGATCAATTGTCAGGTTGACACTATCTAGTTAGTGATTTCTCACAAGCCCGACTTTCATGTTTTCCTTGGGATATATTTCAGTTTTACTGCAATTTTCTTTTCCTTTCATGATTAAACATTTATCATTTCCAATTTAGAATGGCAGGTCTTGTTCACAAAACAAATAACTCAGAAGGCCAAGAAGTTTCACGATGGTTTCCTAAGGCTTGCAAGTTGTGGATTGTCAGGGAGGCAGGTTGATTTCCACAAATTCTGTATGTCCTTTAAATTTAATGTTTATTGATATTACTCTTTTTTGAAATTTCACCAAGAGAGCAAAAGTTGGGATGAGTAAGAGAGAATTGGGCACACTGTCGGCATAAGTAGTAGTTAGGAAGAAGAGAATATCAGAAGAGACAAATAATTTGACCTTAATTTTGAAATTTTGGAACAGTTAAAAATTNAGTAAGAGAGAATTGGGCACACTGTCGGCATAAGTAGTAGTTAGGAAGAAGAGAACATCAGAAGAGACAAATAATTTGACCTTAATTTTGAAATTTTGGAACAGTTAAAAATTGTAAATGAAAACATGTTATGTAGTGAGATGGCCATACCTGTTTTCACAATAAGAAGTAAAGATGTATTTGGACTCTATATATTAGAGAGATTAATTTAGGTAAAAGAGGAAAGTTGTTATAAAAGTAAAGGTTATTGACCACTTATTAGACTATTCTTGATTTTGGGCATTACAGACTCCCCCCTATTATTTTCTTATTTTTTTTGTTTGGAGGTCTATAGCGAACTGCCAAACCTTTGGAGCTAGTTTTTGAAATTGGAGTGCTTTTGCATGAAATTTAGGACTTTTAAGGAGAATGTTTCAGGGGATTATCAGGAATGACATGTTTGCACGGCTTGTTGATAGTCACGTTGTTGGGCCCTTCATTACTACCGATGGCATTATGGTGATTGTTGCATGCAATGAACACATTTTTTTCTANTGATAGTCACGTTGTTGGGCCCTTCAGTACTACCGATGGCATTATGGTGATTGTTGCATGCAATGAACACATTTTTTTCCACTGCCAACCTAGTCAGTAGAGATGTTATTACCTAGTGAAGTTTGAACATTTTTTGTGTTGACTCATTTCTTACTGTTGTGATTGTTAATACAAAAGCACATTGATCCTCAAATTCCTTTTCTGTATCACTGTTCAGATCATGCTGTACGATGCAACCAGGACACTCTTAGATAGCAGGTTTCTTAAAAAGGATGAAATAATCAGGTCTGGTGAATCATTAGCATTTAATGCTCACTTGGTGGACATTGGAGAGACTGAAGAGATCCATAAATGTCCAATGGACTTGAAAGCTCCTGAAAGAAACTGCAGGGTAGTTGGAAATAGCGGAACACTGTACGAACAAGAAGTCGAGGCCCACAATGGCTCTCCGGTTGTTGGTATGTTTGTCTCGGCGTATCTAGCTATTGTATGAAGCATCTACTTGTCAGTGCACTGCTCGAGCGACAGACTGTTTAACTAATGACTATTGATTAGTACTTTATTTGATATCACTGTGGTGCATTCCATGCTTTCTTCTTCCAACCCCCACAAAAAAAATTTCCATTTGTTTTAAAATTAACATCGCAATAAACTACTTTCCTCAGTAAGGGGTCAGTAGAATTGCATCTGTCTCGGTGGTTGTTAAATAAGTTGTTTAGTTTTCTGATATATTATACTGCCTTATTCTTTTTAATGAATCAACGGTGTAGTACTTCCCTTCTGATCCCTTACGCTGTAAGTTGACTATTGTTGAAGTTATTATTTGGGACTGATAAGCATTGTCTTAAGTTTGTGTCAAGTGCTCTCTTCCTTGCGTCTTGCATGGGCATATGCCTTCTTTTGGTTTAATAAGCAGTAAGTATTCCGAAGATGGTGCCATCATTTCATATAATTTATATAGCAATTCCAGTTACAAACTAGTATCGTTGACTCACGTGGGAAACATAATAATGCACCTTTTCTACAGAAAAAAATTGAGAACTATGTGGAAGAATATGATCTGGTTTTACTTTAGAGTACACCTTCCAAGTTGATTGGAACTTGCACAGAACACTCTTAGCTCTTTGTTTCCCTAACTAGCATGAACTTTAAACACAATTTGTGTTCTCTACCTGAGTCTAAGTTGGTTCCAACTTCCAGTTCTTTTAAGTGTAGCCCAAACAAAGAAACATAGAGGAGACATTGGTATTATCTTTCTTTATAGAGCTTATAAAGATATCGCTCAGTCATCTTCTGAGATTTATCCCCTTATTATTCTTTTTACTCCTTCTACAATGCAGAATGGGATGCTATGTACACGAGCCATATAACTCAGAAAAACAAGAAGTACCACAACGGTATCCTTGGACTTGCACTTTGTGGTTCCTACCAAAAGCAGGTCAGTTTTTATGTTCATTCTGCTCCCTGCTTAAATGATTATGTCAGTCATCTTTGTGTGTAATCTGGTAATGACTCAGTTGATTTATTTGAAGTTTTTTTTAGAATGCCAGCACAATATACCATGAACTTCATTTTTGAATAGTAGAGGCGTGCTTTTGAAGAGCTTATATCTATAATTTATTTGTTGTATCTACTATTTTTAATTATAAGATGATATGTTATGTATCTGGTTGTATTTTTACTGGTATCCATCATCTATAATGGGTTGTTATAGTATAGTTATCTGATCTTGATCGGTGCTATGTTAGAAAATTTTATTTATACCAATTAATGCTTATTTTCTTTCCCCTAAATTAAATTTGAATGGTTGCTTATGAATGACTTTGCAGTCTGGTGTAATTAGTACACAGTAGTACCAATAAATTCATATGAATTGTATATGCTATGAAACATTATTGCTTCCAAGTTATAAGTTCCAAGAAACTTGATAATACATTTAGGTTTCTCAGAGAAGCTATTTCATTTAGGTTTTAAGTTGGCTCTTTTGCAGATTCATTCTGACTTCTTATTATTTGGGAAGAGGCCTCCACTGTATTTTTCCATAAATAATAAATGCCTGATCTTGGGCATTTATTACAGTGATGTCGATTCTAATATATCTATAAATCTGCCCTTAGTATGAAAATTTTTCAACCAGCCTTTTGAGTTTGATAAGTGCTTGGCATGTGATGTAGAACTACTTTTGTGGTATATTCCTCGGTACTTGAATTTGTCGCTTGGCCTTTGTATCCTGGAGATTTTATGCTTATGGAATCCCCTCCTTTCCATATATGCTGTGTTAACAAGAAAGGACTTAGTAAGATGTCTGGTTAATAACTCGGCAACACCGTCAAGCAATTCATCATTTACATGGAGTAACTCCATTAAAACTGCAGGGAATTGACATAAAAGTGAGAGGCTGATTTTCTAATCACCAGCAAACATATCTGTTCCTGAAAGTTATAAACTTAATAAATATTTTTACAAACAATGAAATGGAATTAGATATCATGTTCTTTTGGAATGCTCTCTGCAAGCTCCATACTTTTACTAGCAGTCAAATTTCAGAACTGCTGTGAAGTTTTTCTAATTTTATGACTTTCACTTTTCTGTTGTATTGTCTGATTCTATAACTATCAGGTTACTCTATTGACTGAAGATGGGACCCTTTTGAGCCGCAAATTCCTCAAGTTATCAGAAGATGTGACTACTGGAAGTGCATTAAAACTGCCAAATTATTTGGTGGAGGTTGTTGAGCCACGGACAAGTCATAAAGGTAAAGTTCTGCTCTAAGAGGCATTTTTTTGTTGTCATCTACACTCTTACATTTTATGTAAAAATTACGATGTGGCTTCTCCAATATTGTTGTTACGTCATCAAGGTATGTGGTTGAGTTTGTGGGTGCTTCTTTTGCTCTCGTATCATCTTATTTGTTTCTTTCATAGGCTCCTGAACTTCCCTTCTGTGAATGTTTTAACTCGGATGTTTTAGGAGAGTCTCTGAAGAATGCTTCCCCTTTAAAACATGTGGATTCAAACTTTAGAAGCTACGGGACCGACAATATCAAATTTAGTAGAAGAGTCCCTGCAAAGCAGCCTTTGCGAGATGGTAAGTCAGCTGTCACATGCTGTGACAAGCATTGTTGGAGCTCTACAATTCCTATAATTTTGGCCTTTTTGATTTCTTTTCCCCTTTTATGTGTGGTTTATATTTTCTCTGCTATCAAACTTACCGAATCTCGGCATATAAATGTAAGACGTTAATATAGCAAATGGTGAATGGTTTTTCACTTTTCACCCTTGTGTCCATGAGAGAAGCATTCTGAATTTTCCATAGCTAATCATGCATCCCTAATACCTTTTTTTTTTTTTTTTGTAAGCAATACATCATAATAGAGGTTTTTCTTGTGCTTTCCTTTATTCTCTTGTTTTTACCTTTTTATATGGTACCGCTGATCTTTCCTTCTGTAAGTGTATTGACATGGATGTGTGGGAGAACCTCGAGACAATGCTTCTTGATGGAAAGATAATGACTCAAAGGTTAGAAGCTCCAGTTTGACACTATCAAATTAAGCAAGAAAGAACCTTCAAACAAGCCTTTACGCCACCTCTTACCCTGTGACGGCAGTTGCCTTTACATGGCCAGTAATTTGTCGATATGCCCCACTGAGTGCAGTATATTAGTAACATAAATTGCTGGGAATAGGCCTGACCTTGATAATTACTTATATGAAAGACAAGTCATCAGGAGTCTTCCGAAAACAATTATCTTTGTTTACTTTCTTTTGTTGATAAGAAACAAGACTTATTGATAAAAAAGCCAAAAAGGCAATACAAAGGTGATAACCTAATCAAAGGTGGACAAGTCGTCCAACACAATGATTGATTAATAGAAACATAAAGAAAAGCAAGCTATAATCCACATGAAGCTTTCTAGCTAGCAATAATACAAAAGAGAGGAATATCTTCAAACTCTTTAATCACAGAAGCCCAAAAAGAAGCTAAAAAAATACAATTTTTCCATATCCTTTCAAACTCCTCGCCTTTATCCTCAAAAATCCTTGTGTTTCTTTCCGTCCAAATGATCTACATAGTAGTAAAGAACTTTATATTTGTTACAAACTCCTTGCCTTTATACTTTTAAAAACTTTTATATTTGTTACATTTAGTAAGCTCTAATATGTTGAAGTTACAGGGTCCTAACTGAAGACTATGGGTGTCTATTAGTCACTATTGGGGATTGTTTCAGTAGTTTGTGCCAAAACACTGATACAGCGGTTTCTGAAACATTATATTTCTAAAAGAAATAAAAGATATATGCCTTACGAGTGAAGGATGAACCTCAAAGTGTCATGTTAGAGGTTTATTCTACAAAATTAGAGTTACTCCAAGCATGCCAGTGCACTTGGGGAACTCTGAGTATAAAGTTGGCTCCCAAAACATATTTAAGATACACATTTTCTTTTGAAATTTATTTCTGGTTCGAAGCAGCCACTAATCAAATATCTTCAATGTTATCGGGTATCAAAATCTCATTTATGTAGTTGTCTACCAATAAGGTTTCCGGGTTTATGATGATGGTTTTAGGGTGGTTGGCTTTGAAGTTTTCNTTATCTTCAATGTTATCGGGTATCAAAATCTCATTTATGTAGTTGTCTATCAATAAGGTTTCCGGGTTTATGATGATGGTTTTAGGGTGGTTGGCTTTGAAGTTTTCAACCTATTTGTTTATTTTGTAGGAACTTTTTTAGATGATTTAGCCAGATGAACATCAATTACCAGTTAGATATGTGTATACACAAATTGAAAGAAGTGAATTTATCGCTTCTCTTAAATTTGGTGGTCTCTTCGTGTATTAAGAGGATATTTAGAGTTGATTTAATTTAATTTCCTTTCTTTTTCTATCCTTTACTCTGTTTTCATATGTTTTCAGTGTCCACGTGACTAAGTGTCTGTATATACAAAAAATTATACATGTACTTGCTTTTCTATTTCCTAACTATGTTGTGCTTTTCCTGGATTACGTTTATTTTTTCTGAGGATAGCCTGAAAAAGCAGTATTTGATCTTACACATCATGTTTCTGGCTCCTGCTGTAGCAGTTCTACCATTTAAAACACTGAGCCATTGCATAATGTATGATTGTGTCAAGGACTTTTCTGCAGATATCTTATTTTGTGATGGAGATTCAAATTGAGTACATCAAGCTACAAAGCTCAGATTATATTTAACACTTTTTCTTTTTGTTCCTTTAGGGGGAGGGGTTTGTTCTGGAAAAACTTTTTGTTGACATTCATCTTTTCATGTACTTATGCTCTGTTGCACTCATATTAATTTTTGAGAATTTGATTTCTGATTTGCCAGCGCATGAAATTTTGTCCATTCTCAAGAAACCCATGATTCAGGAGTGTTTTGGCAACATGGAGAGGGCGTCTCTAGAGAAGCGCCATGCTTCACAATCTTTTGGTTTTTTTCATTCTGAAATTCAAAATCAGGTAGAGGAACGAACTGTGCAGGACTTCTATCATAAGAGAAGTGCCATAGAGGACTGTGATGANACCATGCTTCACGATCTTTTGGTTTTTTTCATTCTGAAATTCAGAATCAGGTAGAGGAACGAACTGTGCAGGACTTCTATCATAAGAGAAGTGCCATAGAGNGCCATGCTTCACAATCTTTTGGTTTTTTTCATTCTGAAATTCAAAATCAGGTAGAGGAACGAACTGTGCAGGACTTCTATCATAAGAGAAGTGCCATAGAGGACTGTGATGAAGAATTTACTGCTATGCACAACTACAGTGGTGAGATTTCAAAATCCAAAGCTGTTGACAATGATCCTTCAGTTGAGATCACCAAGTCAGCAGATTCTAACAACAGAGGAGACTCACAACCGAAATTTTTTACTTCATCCAGCTTCTCTCTGGGGTATGCATATACTTGATGTGCTACATTGAAGTAATTTTTGACAATATTAATTGCATGGAGAAATGTTAATTCACATGCTTGTATTCACCGACAGAAAAGGGGTATCTTTCAGGTTGGGAGACTAGATTACTTCCTTCTACGTCTGAACTATTTTCATGTTACAAGTGCTTGTGTCCCTTGCCAAGAGTGCTCAAACTTATTGAATTCCAGGATCTAATGGTCAGAACTCACGAGACAATAAACCAAGCGCTTCTATTTATTGAATCTCTNGAGTGCTCAAACTTATTGAATTCCAGGATCTAATGGTCAGAACTCACGAGACAATAAACCAAGCGCTTCTATTTATTGAATCTCTTTTGGTGACTTCTACATAGAAATAAAAATATCCCTTACATAGATTCTGAGAGTGACATCACTTTTTAGGTGATAAAGCAATTCTTTACGGCAGCACATGTCCCTTTGATTTATTGTAGGCATATATATATGTTATGTAAGACTGCTCTGACTAATATTTGGACTTGTGTACTAACTTATTCCAGATCAGGAGAATCAGAGATCTCAGGACTCATGGTTAATGATGTAGTGTGCACCGAGTCTGATAGAAGTAGGACAAGGCCAAATTCTCCTGTTGTGGAGGCTCAAGTTTGGGATGCTCTTAAATTGGATTCTGAGGGCCCACTGCCAACTGCATCAGTGCTGCAAGATATGTCAAATGGAATTGCAGAAAAAAGGGATTACCCTGGTTTAATGCCTTCCAAAGGCAAGTTTTACCTCAATTACATGCACTTATAATATCTGGTTAGTCTTTCCAAATTCTATTATCCAGTGTGCAACTAGCCAGGGATTCTGACAAACGGTAAAATCTGCAGGGAAATCTGGCTTTAGTACCAGTCAGTTATCCAACAAAGTGAAACCCGGAAACTTACCCCAGGTCTAGTTTCCAGTGCTTCTTACTCTTTATTGCTACCATTCTTGCTTGATGTTTAAGCACATCAGACAACTTTGCCCGCTTCATTTTCCAAATTTCATTATTTTATGTTGTCAATAGCAGATATAAAGTAAAGAAGGATTCAGCCCCAAACCACAAAACCCCCTCTCCAACGCCAAAACAAACATCAAAAAGGAAAACCGAAAGAATAGGTGTAAGAAAGAAGAAATGAAACAAAAAAGCAAAAAGAGAGGAGTTCAATTAGAAAAAATGGAGCTGTTAGATTAGATGAATCTTGTAGAGGAGAAAAGGCATTTATGGAGCCAAGCCAAGTTGAAAGCGCATGAAATAACACATTGGTGAAGTTTCATGCAATATCATAGTTGAATGTCAATTATCCATCTTAAAAGAACTAGTTGGTTGTGTTGCAAAGTGATGGAATGCCTCCCTCTTCTTTACCCTTCAACGTTTGTGAAAATTTTCAGGGTTCTGATTATTTTTGGTGCAGCCTTGTGCAGATAACATGGAAATTAGTGCTACATGTCATGAAGCTCCTGATCCTTGTGACAGTGAAAGGAAGAGTTGCGAGGAACCCACAGGCACGAGAAAAATGGATGAGTTTCCATGTTTTGATCTTGGATTTTGAACAAAGGCCACATTGTATTCTTTTCCTTTTATGTGTCTACTATACCATCAAACTTTGAGGACCATCTTGTTTCTTGTCTCAGTAGAGAGTTCTATAAAAGCCAACAATTTTGTTTCACGCACATCTGCAGGCATCCAATTTAGTCCTCATTGATGGGGTCGGGGTGGAGTGTGAGTACAGAAACATTTGGCATTATTTGTAAAACGATTGCTCACAGATTCAAACCTGACAGCATCAAGGTTATGAGCAAATTTCAACCACGGATCCAAGCATTTGATTTCCAATGCTCAATTAGCTATGAATTGGAGTATGGCATGTAGAATTTGAAAAACAAAAAAACAGTGTCAAAGGGATGTTAAAATCATGTATTGTTCGCCCTCTCTGTAGCCATCCTGATACCAGTATGGTACATCTTCCTTTCTTGAAGAAACTTTTACTTCTCTTGGAATATGGTTGAATCTCTTTTTTCCTGTTGCTTTCTGGGTGAATGCACATGAAACTGATCTTTGAGGCTCCGATGGGAACTGATTACATAAGAACAGGGGTAAGCAGCCTCGAATTAAAGCTTGTAACTAGTATGTGCTCCTCAAATTATGTTCAGAATTCTATAGCAACTTCAACTTTTGTTCTCTACTATATTTCAAAAGCAGAATCTACTTTCTAAATGCTAACTGGTTTTGATGCTTACCCGCTGTTTGTTGTTACGACTTGGAATATTTGATCTATTAATAAGAGATCTATAACGCTTGAGAGAAAAGCGAAGGGGCAAAACTGCTCGTTTCCCTGGTTTAAATTGAATGCAATCAATGGACAATACTCCAAATATGTTTATGTCAATGCACTTGAGATAGAATAAAGTCCTGCACCTACATGTTTCTTTGGCGGATAGAACTCTTGTAAATTAAAATGTTCCAGGATTTGAATGAGATTCAGTGGAAGACTGCCCCTACTGCATGGGTATCTCATATATTAAGCATGATCTTGGTGACGTTCAGCCAAAGATCAATCCATTACGATATTTTTTTGTCAACATGAACACATACCTAAATGGTGATTCAACATTCATGGTTGTTGCTTGAACAGCTTTAGCAGACCGAACATTAGGAGAAAATTTCATTAGTGTTTGTAACTACTCGAACATTGCACAAACCCAAGCATGATTAAAAGACAGCAAGAAATAAGGGTGTCACCCTATGGGATGAGAAAAGAGGGGAGGGGAGAGAGAGAGAGAGACTTAGTATCATGCAATGGAAGTCTGCTTTCAACACAGCTGCAAGACACAACTAGAAAACTCTACAATAAGTCAGGGGTACAAAATAATCTTCAACATTCACATGGGAGGCCTTATTGCCCTTTATGCAAAACAAAGCATGAAATACTTGAGAACTCTCAGTAGGGTGAATTAGGAGTAGCATTCGTAATAATAACTAATTAGCGATGATTACAAAATAATAGTAATAAGAATAATAATTGTAGTAGTAATAACAATACTAATAAACAGTGANTTTTTTTTTATTTTTAGATGAAAAGAGTGCAAGTAATTCCCAAGAACGACACAACCTTAACCCAAAACAAGTATATGATCCTTTGATAGCTCAAAGGGGCACATTTTTAACTATTCACACTACTAGATCTCTCTCAAAATTATTTGTGACAGTCCTATCATCATCTTTTATTTTATTTTTTTGGTAACAAAGAACCTTTTAATGTAACATTATATTAGATCTATAATATAAAAAATAAATTTTGAATATCTCCAATCACCTGCTAACCATATGCATCAGTTAAAATTGAGAGTCACTAGTGTAATTCTCTATCAATCCTTTATTTCTCTATGGCTAAAAACATTAACAAAGTGCACCTTTTCCCCTTCATTCATTTATTAAAATTATTGCTTTGGTACAATTTTTTAACTTCCGGAGAATAATTTTATTGTTCTTCATAGAATATAATAAAAAATATAATTTATATATTTGATTCCAAATAATTAGGATGTATATATTTTTTTGAGGTAGGTTAACTTGAGTTGAAGATTAATTTTACTTGGCATTGGATGTAGAACATATGCTAGCGAAAATGTTTATTTTACCGTTGCTTTAGAAATAATAATAAGAAAAAAAGGATAAAAAGGGNAGAACATATGCTAGCGAAAATGTTTATTTTACCGTTGCTTTAGAAATAATAATAAGAAAAAAAGGATAAAAAGGGGAATTGTTAATTGCATACGGTGCGTAATGATGGACCAGAGAGCCCAAAAGGTCGCTCAAAAACTCAATCTATCTATACTTCTAAAAAAGTGAGGATACATGAAAAATATTTGTATTCCGTTTTTACCCTAAACTATTGGTATAAAGTCAATCATATCCACTATGTCTTTTGATCTTCCCTCAGCATCAAATTGATTAGCTGCATTGTTCAACAAGCAATGTCAGTGCACGATCATCAAATTATGTTTAATTTCCTTAAATTAATATACTGATTATATTTAATTTCTTTAAATTAATCCTAAAACATTTACAACTCATTGTCTCCCACAACAAATAAATCTTTCTTAGTTGATACAAAAAGTGTTGTTCTCGATCATCTTCTCTGTCTTCCATTCTCTCATTTCTCTGCTTTGTTATATTTCAAAATTTTAGCTCTTTGTTGTATCAATTTGTGGGCATCTGTCCACAATCTTATCGATCCTCCAATTCCTTTCAACTCACCAAAATTTTGGACTATGTGTGAATAGAATAAAAACAGAGAGAGAAGAAGAAAAGAATACAATGGTCTTGGAATCCAAGAGGCAGAAGCTGTTTCATGAGCTTACTTAATTTCTTTTTGAGCACATCTCATTATTCATGAGGTGGTAGTGGCTTTATGCGCTTTTATTTGCAAATGCATTTGACTTTTATAGCTTTTTGTTTTCAAGTTTTGGATTTTGATTTCTAAAAGTTTTGTTCTATTTCTCTTTCGAATTTGAATGTTTATGCATGTTTGGTCGATGGGAAGTATTACAAAGGAAGATGCCAGGAATCTCATGCATACACTCATAGCCTTGAAGCAGGACACTAGGTTTACATAATTTTCGAATAGAGAAAGTTTATTGCCTTTCTGATGGATATGAAATCATTGACTCTTCATTAGATGACATTTGACATGTTCTTAATTCGAGGTTCACTAATATTTAGCTCTAATTGTTTTTTACATGTAGCAGATTTTTTTATCACTTCATATCTTTGCTAATAGTTTATATTCCTATTTTGATTAATCTCCTCGTTCGATTTCTTTGACGTTATTGTACAGGTTTACTTGGACGCAAGTTCAGCAGCTTGATAGAAATAGGCAATGGTTTAGGGCACTTATTGGTTCTGATATTTGTTGCTACTACTATTACATTTCATTCTTGTTGCTTATTGGTATATTCTAAACAATTTTGAATATAAACTTAGACAAGCAAGTGTCTAATTTCACCATTCTCTGGTGTTAATTATATTCTAATGGCTCCGACAATATTTTAGGTGGGACTCAATAACATTAGAAAGACTGAATTTGTGAATGTTACAATTAAATCTTTAATGCAAGTTACTCCATTGAGGAACTTTTTTCTTATCCTTAAAAATTATCTACATTGCAAATCTACACTCATCCTTTGATTTGGAGAGCTCACTCGAAAGAATTGGCACTCAAGGAACTTCAAGGGACAAGTTTGTTCCTAGTGTAATCAACCTTTAACAATGACTTTTGTTCATAGAATGCGTATACTTAACATTTTTTGTGTCTCTAGGTGTGGTCACACGAGTTTCTATAGACAGTTATGGACTACATACAATTTTGAAATCTTTATGTTTTTTTTTTATTCTGAGCTTATAATTAAAAGGGGCTGACATTGATTTGTGTTTAAAAGTATATGTAGTGTCTACATCAATTAGGTTTATGAATGTATTATCTTTCTTTATTTCCTTGGTCAGATTTTTCATACGACACATAAAGAATACAATAAAAAAATATTCCAGATCACCACTTTTGGGTAATGGAAGCTTGCAATATCCCATTAACTGGTGAGGCACATCACACAATAACAACAAATCGAAATAGTGGGTCAGTTGCATGCTAGAAAGCATGTATACTTCTTGATGGTGTCGTGGCAGTGTTGGACACAACTAGACATGTGTCCAACACAGCTAGAAGTGTCTTGAATAATCAGTTCAGTCAAACACGACCAATGTTTTTTTT